CCCTGCAGGCCCTCTGCAAGCTGATCACCGCCTCTGAAACGGGAGAGCAGTTGATCAGCCAGGCAAGTATTGGCCTGCCTTCGTGGCAGTGGGGCAGGCTGCCTCTGGAGGCCCCAGCTCCAGGCACGCCCCCCCCCCCGAGCAAACGCTTCGCTCTCCCCCTCTTGCTGCTCCAAAGCATCATTGAGCTGCTGCCCTGCATTCCAGCCTACCTCTAAATGTTTCTCTCTCTCTCTTTTTCCACCCCCTCCCCACCCCCCGCCTGCCTGCCTGCCTGCCCTTTCTACTCCCCAAAGGCTGTTAAAAATATGGTGGGAATGGTGAGTACAGGATCCCCCCCCCCCGAATCCCCCGGGCCCCTTCCCTGCTTGGGCAGAGGGGCAGGGCTGGGTGGGCAGGGCTTCCTCCTTTCTTCCTTGCTGCTTTTGCACCCCCATTTCTTCCCCGGTATTTTCCTGGGGCAAAGCTGGGGGATTGGGCAGGAGGATGGGCTGGGGCCAGCTGACTAGCAACTCCTTCTCCTCCTCCTCCTCCTCCTCCTCAGCTCCATCAGGTTTTAGTGCAGCTCCAGGTTGGAGACAAGGAGCAAGATTTCACCCTGGCCCCCATTCAAGTCTCCATCAGTGTTCAGCTTTGGCGGCTGCCCGGCTGCCATGAGTTCCTGGCCGCTCTTGGTAGGCAAATGTCTCTGGAACGAGACAGGGAATTCTGGGGGGGGGGGTGGCAGGGCCGGCCTCTCTTCTTGTGCTCCCCAAGAGGCTCCCACAGCTTGTCCTGGGCTGGAGACAGGCAGAGGGCCTGTGTTGGGGGGTGGATCTCATAGGGGGCTCATCTGGCTCTGCTTTGCTGCTTGCAGGGTTTGACCTGTGTGAGGTCGGGCAGGAGGAAGTCATTCTGAAGACGGGGAAACAGGCCAGCCGCCGGACGATGCATTTTGCACTCCAGACCCTGCTGGCTCTTTTTGGTGAGGGTCTTTCTGAGGAGACGGGGGGGGGGGGGGGGGGGACGGGGCCTTGGGGGGGGGCAGCTTCTTTTCAAAGCCCCTGGGTTGGGGGGGGGGGGGGCA